TTTTCAGGTGAAAGCAGACGTGCAACAGGTTGGTAATGAGCTTATTGTTAGCGGTTTGGAGTCGGCGATGTCATTAATTCAAACGGCTAGGAATCTTCTAAACGCTGTTGTACTTACTGTGAAATCAGCTTATATTGCTAGCACTAAAGTAATATTATTAATTTATATTGTAGTATGTTTGAGAAGTTTTTTTACTTCGTCGTTCTTAGTTATGTTCACTAAGTTTTTTTGCATTTGGCTTGCTGGAGAAAAAGAGAGTTGGAGAATCTTTATAAAAATTTAGTGTGCCAACAACCATGTTCAATACTCCACGGAAAAAGGACCTTTTTCTACTGAAGAAAATGCTTTATGAAATGGCATATTGGTAGACCTTTTGGTAAAACTTGTAATTGAGTCGTGAACAGTGATGCATGGAAGTATCTTTTTGGTGAACGATGAGCTTATCTTCTCTTTTGCATGCTTTTGTCTTGCATCTGTGCTTGAGTGGTGCAGTGTTTGAATCATTGAGGCACTTCGTAATTTTTACTTTTTTTAGTATACGCACTGTTATTTTTCTTCTATCACTTGTAACTAGCTGAACAGACATTTGCTCTGAAAAGCAGGGAAGTTATACTTTTTAGTTTTTAGATTTTACGAGATTTTAGTTCTTGAATATAATAAGAGGAGAAAAAAGGAGGGGCTGCTTGTAGGGAAATGACTACCTAAGTGCAGTTGCTTTCCAGTGTGCTAAAGAAGAAGGTATTTGCTTGTAGACTAAATTTTGGGAGCTAGTTTGCTGACAAGTACATTTTAAACGTTTGTGTTTATACTCTCGGTTAGGTGTTCATGGGTGTAGAAGAATCATATTGTGAAGATCACTTAGAGGTGTATTCTTTGCTGGTACTAGTGGTGGTCTACGAAGGGCCGAAAGCTGTGCTTTCTAGTAGAGGAATTAAATTCTTAAACGCATATATTTTCTGTAGTCCACGACTAGTAGGTTAGGGTTTCCTTCAAAAGATAAATTGGGATTTTCCATGTTTTTAATAGGAGGAGAAACTGAAAAAGGTTTGTTTTGATGGCGTGAACACTTGCCACTGTAATGGCTGGTTTTTAGCGCAGGTGTTTAACAGTTGCTTGGTTGTACCTGGGGTTTTTACTTCGAGGAATCAAATTTAGGTGGCTTGAATAGGAAATGTGCGTATAATTTTTTTTTTGTTGTTGTACAGTGTTCATTACAGTTTTTTGTACTGCGAACAGCATTTCTCGTGTTCTCTATTCCTGGAATTACTTTCTTGTGATATAGCATGAATTTTGGGCGTCATGTATCATTACTGACTTTTTTTTTTCAGTATCGAAGAAAGAACACAGCTGCCCCGACTCTTGTGGAGTGGCGCATGGCTCCTCCACAGAAGAAGCCTTTAGTTCGACCGCAAGAGAAGCCCCTTGGTATTGTTAGACGCGCTTCCGAGAAGCGACCCTTAGCACCTATGAAGGTACTTTCGGAATTTCATGTAGCTCGTTGAATCGGTCTTATATTTAAGCAAGAACTACTTAAAGTTGATTCAAAATTGCAAGTAGTTAACTGTTCGTATAAAAGAAAAAGCAATATGCCGGAATTAGAACACTCTTCACTTGTGACACTTTTATTATGTAACTGGTTGTTAACTTCTTAATTTTTTGGCTTATTCTTATTTAAACTGTCTTGAAACCTCTGTTAAGGACAAATAATGTTCAGCGAGTTACTAGATTTACATACGAAGAATGTTTTCCACTAATGGTTGAAGACTGTACGGTCTTTATTTTTATGTGAAATCCTCACTCGTATTATCATCGGCTTTACTGTCACAGTTTAACAAAATCTCGGTCATTTGCAATTTGTAGACGTTAATACTTTTAAATTCTTATATGATTTACTTTACTGCATAAGTTTTCTGTTACTTTCATTTCATCCTCATGACTCGTGGGTGAAGTAATATCGCAGATTAGAAATGATGGCGGTCTTCTTAGTTTACAGGCTGATTCCTTTATTCGATCTCGACTCCTTATTGATTTCTCCCTAATTAAAGCTCATTGCGGCAATTGGGGTCTTATTATTAAAGTATACCATGTTTTGCTACTGTTGATTTGGTTTGAAATATTGAGGTTTTTGGTTATTAGGACTGCACTTTTAAGGTTTTTCCCACTGTTTGAAAAGTGGCGAGGTGACATTCCCTAAGGCTGTTAGTTATAGTTGTTTGTTGCACAAGCCTGATGTCTGATTTCTCTATAAATAAACAGTACAAAAACGAAGTCGTGAAACATTAAAGAGAAGCCAACAATATATGTTACAGTGTATCAGTTATATGATGTGTACGCTATCTAGTAATTATGGAAGTATATTTTTACGGGATGACAAGAGGAAGGTTAACTAACGCGTCTTTAGTGTTTAGAGGAACGGTGTCCAGCTTCTTGCTAGTTTTAAACAGGAGTAGGTCATAAGTATACTGTTATGAGGTCAATGGAGAGGGTTCTATGAGACTATTATTGTCGGGAGTTTTAAAAGGTAATTTGTTGCATAAGAAATGAAAACATGTAACGAATTGTTTCATGTTGTAGGGAGGTCGTTCACAAACAACAGTTTAGTGGTGTTTTTAGACAAGCATCTGAAGAACTGAAGCAGACAGTTTCTGTTGGTTTGCATTTTCACGCAAGTTTCCTCTTTAAAACACAATAGCAAGTCAGAAAAAAGCCAGCTGATGGTGATCAAATTTCTCTCCTGACTCGTTGTCAACTTTGTTCATGTCATTTCTAACTGCGTACTATTGCATTTATAGGTTGATCCGTTTCTAACTTATTAAGCCGGGCTGTAATAAAATATTGGATTTTTTTTGAATGAGAAAGAGAGTCAAAAAATTTGATAGTTAATAATCGTTCAAATTCAAACTTAGAAGGAAGAAATCAAGTATATACTTTGTCGGTATATCACTGACGTTAATTTTGCGGTAGCATTACTCCCCAGTAGCTTTTAGAGCACAGCAGCCAAAGCACACTGGATTGCGAATGCGTCTTGTTAAGGTTTAGTAGTAGATGGATATGGTGTTCAACCATATCTGCACACTGTCGTTACGAGTGAGCTATTCAGCTCCTAGACCCATAGGATGAGAAATAGGTCCATGGTAAATTGGAATTAAAAATGCAAAGCCAGCAGGTTTTAGTTTGTTTAAACTGCATGATCCACCATTTGTAAGTTTTGTGGTAACTCTAAGGCTGGAGCAGGTGCTCAGTGATAAAAATTTGAACAGCTCAACTAGGTGTTAATTTTTTCTCTTCCTATTATTTTGTCCGTATCATAAAAATTTTGGCACTGACCCCTTCCTGTTAACTCCTCCGAATAATCATTCGTTAAACGTTCAGTACGTTCCAAGGGGAAAACGAGCTCTACACTGATAAGTTTAAAAAAACGTAGGAATCAGGCACTGCAAGCTTTTGCTCCAGAAATATTATTATTAGAAAGAAACCATCAAAATTTCATATTCTGCCGATCATTAAAAATGGTAACAGTTCCCAAAACATGAATTTTTCATATCTCTCTCCTTCTTTGGAGTTATAATAAACCGTAAAGTTTATATTAGAAACCTAGTGAATAACTATAACGACACAATATTATCTACGGTAATTATTAGAAAAATTCAGTATAAGAAAGTTAACATTTTACTTCCTTTTCAGGTAACCTATTCTCAATTTAAAAGTTTGAATTTTTTACCAACTTGTTAATATATACTTCTCCGAAAACTTTATTAGCTTGCTTCACGTACACATTCGTATTACATCGGCATTCAACGTATTTCCAGGAACGTACACGCTCTTTGTCCACATGAAATTTTTTGTGACGATTTATACTAGGTTTCACAATACCGATGGTTTGGGCTGGATGTATTTTAACGTTCAATCTTGAAGACAGTAAGAGTCGTTCGCACAATACCAGAATATTTTGGTGGCTAAGAATGACAGGGAAAAAAGAAACAGCCGTCTTCGGTATTTTTTATAGTAACTTTACTTTCTTACTTGTTCATAATACTATCTAAGGGAACAACACTGTTGGTTACTTGATTTTCTTGTTAATGCATCCCCACAATCAGATGTCGTGATCAAGTAAGAAAATAAATTTTATCTACTCTACACCCAATTGTGGCTTGGCCTTTCCTATGCATCTTAGGCCACTGCTTTACTGAAAGTTTTAGAAAAAGCAGCTGGAACGCATTTTAAAAGCACACTGGAAATTATTCCTCTCCTTAAAAGGAGGAATATAAGCCTATAGGCCAGTCTTCTTGTTAATGCATCCCCACAAGGCCAATAATAATTATTATTGGTTGATTGCTGCGGCGCACTACAAGTGAAATCTTGTTCGTTGTAAATGGATGCCTCTGTCGTCTGAATCTTCACTTTCGCTAAGCTGGTAGGCTAAAAATGACCTAACTTCCAAAAAAAAAAGTTAAAATGAATGGTTCTATGAATGCATGTTAATTAGAAATTTACGGAAGATCTGCTGCGTCACGGATAGATTTTTTTGGTCTATTTGTGTTTCTTCTTACCTTCTGCTGATGACATCTAATCCCAATCCTAAGACGAAAGAAAGACTAAACAGTTTTTACACGCTGAATACTTCAGTTTTACCCTCTCTTTATCTCTGCATTTGCCATTTTTACATTCAGTAACTACCAACAACTTCAGGTCAACAGTAGTAACCGCAATGGCATTTAAAAAAATTCAAGTACAGACCAAGAAATTGACCGCCTTCCTTCCAGTTTTGCATCAGTTGTAAGTAATGGTCTAAATGGTCCTCTGTGCAATACATTACAGCAACCTAACCAGGAGAAGTTGGTAAATTTCTATTTTTCAACACGCTGACTGGCTGATTAATGACATTAAGTTTTAAAACAATCACAAAATATTTGTTTCATTATAAAATAGGAAATCACAGGGCATTGAAATATTCAAGTAGAGTATCAGTGACCTATTTCAAATGACTGCGGTATTTTGCACAATGATGACACTAAATATTTATTGCACCATTCATCTTCTCTTCAAGGCAGATTTAGACATTTTATTCTGCATTAAATTAAAACTAACAGTTTTGCTTATTTAGACTCTACAATTGTAACTCAGGAAGTAAAACAGGAAGTTCAGAAGTAAAACAGTTAAAACTATCCAAACGGTACCTAACGACATGACTACTTTATGTCGATCTTCAAGATTAAACGCAAATGACGTCTAGAACTAGTTGTGAAACGAGTCCCGACGCTCAAAACTATGAGTAGTAAAGCTGGTCATAGGTTACCACTGATTCCAAGTCTTAAGTACGGCGTCAAATGTCGGAGAAACATATGTTTTGCACCAAGAACTAAATATTAAGAGATAGGAAATCGAGCGTCCGAACCTGCAAACCTTCACGGCCCTGCTTGGAACTGTTTCTGCTCCCTAATCTCTCCTGCCCTTCCGTCCTGCGAACGTTAACCAGAAAAGACCAAAAAAGTACTTTTACATATGACACCAAATTCAATTTTCTCTGCACGTCTGCCCATCGTTGACTGCAGTTTCGCGTTCCTCTGACCGGAAGACATCAGTTTTATATTAGCAGACATTTGCAATCTTTTGATCTTATTAACACAATAGAAAAATTTTTCTTCTAACAGCTTTAACTTTTATATCCAGCCATTTATTTAACCAGCAACCGGTTACAAATAACCAGTAAAAGTAAAATACTGCGATGAAAAAAAAGAAAAACAAATCAGTAAATTTTTTACTTTTACTGCAACACTGGAAAGTTTTTAAGATAACGGAACTTTGGCGGCTGAATCCAGTTTAACCATCCGTAATCTTGAATTTAGAAAACCACCTATTTCGATTCCGTATCCTGAGCAAAATTTTGGAGACCTACAGATTTTGGAACTCCAACTCGTGATAATCCCGCTCCAGTAAAAGTCAACGTAAAGTGGGTTTCTGGAACTGCCAAACAAGTCGAAGTGGCAACCGAAATCAAATTCCCAGCACCTACTTTCAGCTTACAGCACCCTCCTAGGTGTCAGAAGTAAACTCGCCAGCACTGTGGTAGTGATGCTTAACGAATGACTGACTGTACTATTGCAACTGTCACGAAGGAGAGTGCTGAATATCGCAGTGTACTGTGTGGCGATGTTATTCAGCTATAGGTGGCGAAATGCTGCGCAACGGACCACCAGACTTTTGTCAAGCAGCATTGGTGTTGGCGTTTGCAACTGTTGGCGAAGATTTCGGCCGCCGGCGGCGGCGGTAGTTCGGTCATATGAATGCGCAGAAAGGCAATAGGACGGCACAGCCGCAGTTGGTTGTAAAATTAAATTTTTAGTTGCAAAAGCTGCAGTAAATTTATGTGAGATAAGAAGGGTCCTGAAGCGATTTGATGGATTGTGTAGCTGGTGCCTTAGCCTTAAGAGATCGGAATTGAGGAATGCGTTGGAGGTGAATTTCACTTTATCTTTTTAATGTTTGAAATGTGCCTTTCGGT